TACAGGTACTGCTGCAGCTCACAATTTAAAAAAATGGAGCATGTGAAAAAACAAAGGTCATGGGGATCCAAAAAGAGTCCTTCCTAAGAACTGTCCTTGTCCTGTTCTTACACATAAATCTGACCATACATTAACCAGTTGTTGACCGCAGATAGCCGAATGACGGCTACACTGCGGCCGGCCAGTTCTGGGAGGGCGTCATATGACGTCTTCCCACAATGCCCTCTCCTGCGCGCCCCTGGGGGGCGCGCACCCGGCGATCTCCATGATCGTTGTGTCCTACGGACACAGCTGATCACGTGATGTGGTAAAAGGCCACCTATCCATGCCACCTCATTAGTGCTGCCTATCAGTGTGCTGCCTATCAGTGCCCATCAGTGCTGCCTCATCAGCGCACATCAGTGAAGGAGAAAAATTACCTGTTTGCAAAATTTTATAATAGAAACAAAGAAACTTTTTTTTTTTTCACATTTTTTGCAATTTTTTTGTTTATAGCGCAAAAAGTAAAACACCCAGTGGCAAGTAAATACCACCAAAAGAAAGCTCTATTTGTGAGAAAAAAAATGATCAAAATTTCATATGGGTACAATCTTGCATAACCGCACAATTGTCAATCAAAATGCGACAGCGCTGAAAGCTGAAAATTGGCCTGGTAAAAAAAGGGGGTATAAGTGCCTGGTAGGCAAGTGGTTAATTATACAGTTGTATTGTACAATCTATTCGAGATCTATCGTCAACTGTGTAGTGCAAGAGTCTGCCTGGTTTGATACTAATTGAATAGACTGTTAAGACTGATCTTATATTACATAGTTTTGGTAAACCTAAAGGTTGTGCAATCAAAATATATGTATGGTCAGCTTAAAGTGGTTGTTAACCTCAGACATGAAATATGAATAAAGCATATCCCTCTTTAGTGTGTACCTGGCTCAATCCATAGCACTCAGTCTCTTTTCTGTCTGCTGCCTCGTTCCTCTGCTATAAGCGTGAGTCACAAAGCCCACTAACTATTCCATCTGATTAACTGCCTAGATAATGCCATTATGTCAAGTCTGTGCACAGTAAGGTTGTACAATAAGACAATTGTGAAGGAATGAAAGATTTTATCTGTAAGAATTAATGAACCTCCTGACGCCGGGCCTTCAGCACCTCTGACGCCGGGCCCTCAGCACCCCCTGACACTGGGCCTTCAGCACCTTCTGACGCCGGGCCCTCAGCACCTTCTGACGCCGGGCCCTCAACACCTCCCGACGCCTGGCCCTCAACACCTCCCGACACCTGGCCCTCATCACCTCCTGACGTCGAGCCCTCAACGCCTCCTGATGCAGGGCCTCCAGCACCCCCTGACACTGGGCCCACAACACCTCCAAACACCGCGCCCCACGGCTTGTCCAGTCGCCGAACCACTGTACCCGACGCCATGCCACAACACCCACGGACGCCGGCCTACAGTACCCACAGACTGCAACCAGCCAGCTGCGGCCCCAGCCGCCCACCACTCCCACTGCCCTCCTACGATTGGACACTGTTGAACTCCGACATGGCATAACGGACTCTCCCCATCCTCACGTCCTGACTGAAACCTCCCTCCTCCCTGACCCGTCCAGCACTCCGCTCACCCTAGCATGCCACCTGCACTCCTCCTCCTCGTTCTCCTCTCCTCCATTCCCAAACTTGCCTCCCTCTACCCCCCTACTCCCCCTAAACAGCTCTACATTGCACCCTCACTTCTTCCTTCTCCCCTCTTCGGCTCTCACCACCTACTCCTGATACTCCACTCCCCCGCTTACCCACACGCCACCACCAACAGACCCACTTGCTCCTGCACATCCCGTTCCCATGCCACCTTCCTCACCCTTCTCCTTCTCCTAACTGCCGGAGATCTCCCCGAACCCTGGCCCCCCACCTCCCCACTCCCCCCCTCGGCACCCCCCTACTCTCGCCAGCCGCTGCAACCCCCTCAACCTCATATCTGTCCCCCTCCTCCCCGCATCCACCCCTGCTCTCTCAGTTGCACTCCTGAACGCCCGCTCGGTTTGCAACAAGCTCACCGCCATCCACGACCTCTTTGTCTCCCACTCCCTCAACCTCCTAGTGGTCACTGAAACCTGGATCCAAGCCACTGACTCCACCTCCCCTGCAGCACTCTCCTATGGAGGTCTTGTCTGGACCCACTCACCCAGACCGAGCGGCCGCAGAGGCGGTGGGATCGGTATGCTCCTGCCACCGCTGAGCACCTTCCAGGTCCTCCCTAACCCCCCCTCCCTATCCTTCTCCTCCTCCGAGGCCCACTGCATTCGGCTCTTCTCTCCTACCCCTCTGAGGATTGCGGTAATCTATCGGCCTCCTGGTTCTGCATCCTCTTCCTAGAAGACTTTCCCTTCTTCCTCTCCTCCGAGCTACCGACCATCATCCTAGGGGACTTCAACATCCCCATCAACGCCAACATGTGCCTAACGCCCCGCACACTATCACCTCCCCAACGCTCCGCTCCTTCAGCCCAGCTACCCCTGAGGAGGTCTCTAAGGTCTTCACTGAAGCCCGCCTCACCACCTGCCCCCTGGACCCTATCCCCTCAAAGCTCCTCCAGTCACCCCCCCCCCCCCCCTATCATTCGCTCCCTCACCCACATCTTCAATCTCTCCCTCTCCACTGGCACTTTCCCTTCCCCTCTAAAGCACGCGCACATCACCCCCATACTCAAAAAACCCTCCCTTGACCCCACTGACCTGAACAACCTCAGACCCATTTCCCTGCTACCATTCACTTCCAAGCTCCTTGAACGCCTGGCCTACAATCGCCTAAGCGCCCACCTCACTGACAACAACATCCTTGATCCTCTACAGTCTGGCTTCCAACCCCTACACACCACCGAAACCACCCTACTTAAAATCACCAACAACCTGCTAACCTCCAAAGCTAATGGCCACTACTCTGCCCTCCTGCTCCTTGACCTCTCCGCGGCCTTCGACACAGTCGAACACCCCCTCCTCCTTACTAAACTGCACTCCCTTGGCATCAGGGACGCTGCTCTCTCCTGGTTCTCCTCCTACCTAACCCAACGCTCCTTCAGCGGTACCTATAACACTGCCACCTCCCCCTCTCTCCCCCTCTTTGTCAGAGTCCCCCAAGGCTCTGTCCTCGGACCCCTCCTCTTCTCCATCTACACCTTCTCCCTTGGCAAACTAATACACTCCCACGGCTTCAATTATCACCTCTATGCTGACGACGCACAAATTTACCTCTCCACCCCCCACCTCACCCCCTCACTCTCCGCCCGCATCGCCCACCTCCTGAACGACCTATCAGACTGGATGGCGCTCCATTTCCTCAAATTAAACCTGTCAAAAAACCGAGCTCCTGGTCTTCCTCCCCCCCCCCCCGTGCCCCCCCCACCATCCTCTCCATCACTACTAACAACGCCACCATCACTCCCACCCCACATGCCAAAGTCCTGGGTGTCACACTGGACTCAAACCTTTACTTCCTACCTCATGTCCAATTACTATCAAGATCATGCAGGCTCCACCTCCGCAACATCTCCAAGATACGTACATTCCTCACCCCAGACACTAAACAACTCGTACACTCCCTCATCATCTCACGCCTGGACTACTGCAACTCCCTTCTCACTGGCCTACCCAAACAAACGCTATCCCCACTCCAGTCAATCCTGAACTCAGCGGCGAGACTCATCCACCTCACCAACCGCTCCACATCCGCTACCCCCCTCTGCCAATCCCTTCACTGGCTCCCGATTGCCCAGCACATCAAATTCAAACTGCTAACTCTGACCTACAAAGCCATTCACAACGCCGCCCCAAACTACTTAACCGACCCGATACCCAAGTACTACCCTGCCCTTCACTCCTCACAGGACCTCCTACTCTCTAGCTCCCTAGTCTCCTCCTCCCACGCCCGACTGCAGGATTTCTCCAGGACTTCCCCCATCCTCTGGAACTCCCTACCCCAATCCATCAGACTGTCACCTTCCCTCCTCACCTTCAGGCGCACCCTAAAAACCCACCTCTTCAGGGAAGCCTACCCTCGCCAGCAGCCGACCTCCACTCCTCCCACCACTCCATTCCCCACAGCCATTTCCTCCTGTACCACCTTTCCCCTCCCTCCTAGATTGTAAGCTCGCAAGAGCAGGGCCCTCGACCCCCTCGTGTTTTGTATTGTTTCTGTCTTGTCTCATGTTCTGTCCCCATTGCTATTGTACAGCGCTGAGCAAACCCTTTGGCGCTTTATAAATACTGTATAATAATAATAATGAGGACAATCTGTATATTTTATTGTTTTATCAAAACAACAAAAGTTGTGCACATTAAGGGCCATGTCATCCTTGTGATCCTGTCTGCGGTGGCCACTTGTCAACAACAGGAACTGCAAAGAGAGCATTCACTGTCTTCTGTGGTGTTGCTCCCTTGCTGGCCAAACCACTGCAAAACTCCAAAGGAAAAGTGATAGAGCAACACTATGCTGGTTCACCCAGTGAGGGAGTGATAGCCACAGGAGCAGGCCAGTGTCACTCTCATAACAATCCTATTGCTGGCAAGTTGCCTCCAGTGACAAGATCACTGGTGTGACATGGGCCTGAGAGAAAAACATGTCCAGCTTTAAATATTTAGTAACCGCCAGCATCCTGTAGACTTTGGTCCACCTTGAACACAATACATTCTGGATTGTAACAGCTAGGTTACTCATTGCATATGATGGAATAATCAGACAAGTCTTTCTCCACAATCTGTAAAGTTGCTTTATGTAGTATTATACAGTGTCTAGATTGCTTATCCAGGACAAATTCCATGCAGTAGATGTGCCATAATTCAGGAATCACTGGTCCCCACTAGTAACAGCAATCTTTCTCCTGGTAGCCCTGGTAGAGTGTCCATCTCCAGAAGCAGCTTCTACTCCTTATGATCTGTCACAGGTCCACACTCAAGTTTACTCAGTTTCTAAAATAAAGCACCATATGAAAATGAATGAATGCAGTAGCACAGTCAGACTACGGTCACTGCACGTAAATTTGTTGGGAGTGCATGCTTGACTGTAGGTAGCTTCTTATGATTCTGCTGGTACAGCCCTCGGAGAACTCCCTGTAAAATGATGTCCTCAAACACGTCTGTCATGGAGGAAAGAGTAACATAACATTAAATCATAAATTAGCCTATTGTTGAATATAAACAGCATGTAGTTAGCTGTAGATCGATGTACTAACACTTGGATGGCTTACTGCTAGTAGTCATTTGCATTTGACACTTTTAAATACTAAGAAATGATTATACAAATTGTAGTTGTTGGACCTATAATCAGCTAATAGTCCTGAAATAATCATGTGTTCATGCAATACATAATGACATGCTTGTGTTTTAAATACTTCCAAATGGTAGCAATTAAGCTGAGCTTTTTGAGGTGCTCATACGTACAGGAACTCTGCGGTGGAAGCTCAGCATACACAGGCAAAACCTGAAAGTTATTTTTTGAACACTGACTGAACAAAGAAGGGTATCAATATATGCCATAACACTTTACTCCCCATATTAAACATTTTATGTAGGTTTCCTTGGTCTATGGACCAGCAGGCTTCAGCTATGCTCGAATGTAGCCCCAAATTACTGGTCATTACAGTCTGGGCAATTCATTGTACATTGGTTATATCTGGGTACTTTTTCTATACGATTTTCTGTATTCTGTATAATCTTCAATAAAAATGCATAAAAAAACCCCCAAAGTAGCCAATACAAAACAAATACAAAGTTGTTGCCCATAGTGACCAATCGAGTGTCATCTATTATTCTATTGGACAGCAGAATAAGGTATCTGATTGGTCACTATGGCCAACAACTCCACTTTTATTTCCACTTTTTTCCCCCAATTCTTTAAAGTGGTTGTAAAGGCTGGAGGTTTTTTAAAAAAACCTTCAGTGTGCAGCAGCTCCCCCAGCCCCCTCAATACTTACCTGAGCCTCATTGCGATCCAGCGATGTGAATGACAGCCTTGGCTGTCCCGGGTCTCTGCCTCCTCATTGGCTGAGACAGTAAGCAGGAGCCAACGGCTCTCGCTGCTGTCAATCACAGCCAGTCAGTCAATGAGGAAAGTGTCGGGACCAAGCCGTTGGCTTCGTGTGTGAATGTACACACGGAGCTGCGGGTGCCCCCATAGCAAGTTGCTTGCTGAGGAGGCACCCGACAGACAGGAGGAGCCAGGAGAGCCTGCGGCGGACCAGAGAACAGGAGGATCCAGGCTGCTCTGTGCAAGAATAGACATGTTTGTTATTTTACAAAAATTAACGTTTAATATCACTTTAATGTCTGTGTTTTCTCTCTATCACTTAGTATATCCTGCAAAATGCTATGCTGCTTTAGCGATCATCACCAGTGCAGCGCTTCAATATAAAGTGCATCAAAATCTCATATGACCAAAATGATAAAGTGCATAGATTATCAATGAAAGCGCATCAAACTGTAGCTTTATATAAGAAACCTTATGAAAGTGCAAATAAAATAACCATAAAGTGCTAGTGTTTATGAATATTCAAAAGTCTGACAAAAGTCCCAAGGTCATACATAAAACAAATTACAGATTCCATGTGGAAGCAAACACAATAAAACACTTACTAAGATGGCCGCCAATCCGGAATCCGGAAATGGCATCGTAACGTCAGCACGTAAGGCTCCATGTGGAATCTGTCATTTGTTTTAAATGGCTGATTTTAAGCAGTAAATGCTGCAGTATATACCTTATCTTTGGGCTCCATGTGGCGAGCATTTTCTGCACAGGAACCTGTTTTGGATGGATAAGATCTGGATTGAGGATCTGAGAGTGGATTCTATGTTCGGTTGATTTGATATGGTAATGCCTACTAGCTGTCTGGTGAGTGCATAAAGGTGAAGGATCACTTCACTTTGGTTGTACAGTATGAGATATCATACACTGGGAACTGGGAATCATCATTACTGAAGGTCTCAAGTGGAATTCATGTGACCTTGGGACCTTTAAATATTCATAAACACTAGCACTTTATGGGTATTTTATTTGCACTTTCATAAGGTTTCCTATATATAGCTACAGTGTGGTGCACTTTCGTTGATAATCTATGCACTTTATCTTTTTGGTCACAGGAGTATTTGATGCTTTTTATAATTTATATTTTTAGATTTCACCTTTTGTGCGAGCAACTTTCCTCTCTGAGCGTTCACTTGTGTTTTTATTTGAAGTTTCATCACCAATGGACTAATGTAACTTTTCCACAGGCACTGTGTATTGGCAACCTTTGGCTGTGTAGCCCAGCTGCTATTTAGAGTGAAATTACAGGCAAGCTGGGAAAAATAATATATGTAAATTGTTTTAATTAACAAATGATTTTTAATCTGTTCAGCCAGTCTGAAGACAATAAACTCAGAAGAAGAAAAGGTGAAGGTGAAAACACTGGCATTGGAGTGATAAGGGAGATTGCTGGAGGAGGGCAATTTGCACAGTAAGTCTGCTATAATGTGCAAATATGCTGAGCGTACTTTCAAAAGCTCCCCAAATTCTTTGTTCTGCTTCATGTTTTAATATTAGCTGTGGAGGGAATCATAAACGCTTTTTCCATATATGACAGAGATGTTGGATACACTTTTAAAGTAGAACTATAGGCAAATCTTTTTAGATTTTGTACAGAGTATGGAAGGGTTATAACCCGTCAGTTTATTTTTGCCATATGTGTCCCATTGGGGAGATGTCCAAGAGCCAAACCACGAAGTGAGAGGAAATCCCTCTGAAGAGAGGGAATCCCAGTGTGTCACCAGAACTAGTGTCCCCAAGGAAGATTTCCTTTCTATTACTGTTTGGATGTTAACTCAAAATTTGGGATTTTATTTTACTTTCTAATTGTCCTGTTTACTGTTATCATTGAGAGGATGAATCTCCCTAATGGGGGCACAGACAACATTATCCTCTTGCTGATCCACCCACTGTATTTTTACTGCAGGCGGGCAACATGCACAGGCACACACACGTACCTGTACGTCAGGAGCTGAACGTGCCCACTAATGCGCCCCCATGTGAGCAGCAGCGCACACCAGTGACCGCTGTGTCCACCGGACACAGCAGAACAAGGTGCTTGGTACCCGGCTGCTATGAGTGGCAGGGGTATCATGTGATCGCTATAATCAATCATAACAATCACATGGTGACAATGTAAAGAAACTGTCAAGAATGGATTTCCATTCAAGAACAGCTTGCTTACCCTTGTGATCTGTGATTGGCCCACAGCAATCACATGGTACCTGGCTACCTGGCTACCTGTACCATGTGATTAGCTGTAGCCAATTACAGATCACAACTATAAACAAGCTGTTAATGAATGTTAATCCACTCATGACAACTAAAATTAAGCAAAAAAAAAAAAAACCCTAATCACTCCCCTCCCCCAGAGTAGTACAGTGTCACTATTGTGACACTCAGCTAGTCTGATGAAAGTATGTAAAAAAAAAAATAAAATAGAAAAACAAAATTAACAAAAGAAAAAATGTTTAAAAACAGGATTAAAAAATATACCAGTCAGTATCCCTTATCACCACCACATTAGCAGTATGATGATACTGTATTGCACTGGTAAGATTCACAAATCTCACCGTGCCTCATACTAAATACCCTGGTCTGTTTACGTTCTAAAAAGGGGTCTTTTAGGGGGTATTTGTACTGTCCTGGCATTTTAGGACCTCAAGAAATTAGATCAGCAGTCAGCAATTTAGGAGTGATTCAATTTTCAAATATATATATACCCTAGTTTGTATAACTTTCACACAGACTAAATAATAGACACTAATTTGCATTATTTTTACCAAACAAATGTAACAGAATACATTTTGGCCTAAATTTATGAAGAAAGATTACTTATTTGCAAAATTGTATAACATTAACTTTTTTTTAAATTTTTGGTATTTTTTGTTTCTATCGTATAAAATATAAAAACCCAATCATAATTAAATACTACCAAAGGAAAGCTCTATTTATGTAAAAAAAATGATATAACTTTCATTTAGGTACAGTGTTGAATGATTAGCAATTGCCAGTTAAAGTAGCGCAGTGCTGAATATAAAAAAAAAAATGCCCTGGTCATGAAAGGGGTAAAACCTTCCTGAGGTCAAGTGGTTAAGAACTGACAGGTATTCTAATCCCTCTCCCCTACATGCAAAACTAGAAAAAAGTTTTGCCTTTAGTTATACTTTAATAAGAATGACTGTAATTATCAACCAATCTGAAAACACTCTGATACTGTAGCTGTAACTTACCTGTGTCTGGAGGTAAAATGTACAGGTCCTTGTAAAATCCTACCACCGCTTTATGTGCCAACTGGGAACTGTCAAGAAAACATAGCATTACAATCAGGTTTTTAACATCACAGACCAGAGATGTAAATACAGATCATGAAGCCCTATAGACAACTGTCCCACTGTCACTGTTTCTGTCACTATTAACAGAAAGTATGTTTAAACCAAGGACAAGTAGCAGGAGAGCCGTCAGCATAGCCAGTATATTGCTAGGGACCAGGGCTGTGGACAAAAGTTTATTTTTGGTTTCTAGAACCTGAAACTTACAGATGGTGACAGACATCTTGATATATTAAATCTGAACTGTTGTTTGGAAAAGATTGTTACAGTTATAATGTTTATACAGTTGTTATAATGTTTACATGCTACATTACTGCTCAGAAAGTTTCGCTTAATCACATCACTGTATATCTGTCCTCGCAATAATATGTTTGCATAACAGACATACAGAAATATGAATTATCTTACCAGACAAATGGATTGTAACGATACCCAGAAAAGTCCTGGGAGACAAACGTTTCCCTTTAATTCCTATCCAGAATAATACTTTGCCAGGGAATGGTGAAATTACACATTTTGCCACTAGGTGGAGCATCAGTTATGCACTCAAAAGATGTACTATGCAATATAGGTGGCATTAAAGTGACCCTGTGCTTTAACCAGTCAGGGCACCTTTACACTGGTGGTCATTTGGAAGAATTTCCTTTGACATTGGTGGTCAGAGGGAAGTACTTACCAGTACACCAGTGGTCAGTGGGAAAAATGCCCCAAAATACTGGGGTCAGTGGGGAGCATGCTCCTTACTTTGGGGGTCAATTTGAAAAATGCCTTCTTACAGACAGCTAAATAAGATCATTGATTTCATTATTAACTTGCAAAGAGACAACAAGAGGTGTCAACACCATTACCTACGCAGGCATCATCAAAGCAAGAGTTCAACCCTCCCAAACTGCCTGCCCCAGGGATGACCGACAACCAATGCCCCAACCTTTATAAACCAATGGACAAAATCTTTCAAATAATGCAAAGCAGCCCTCGCACACATTTGGCCCGGATTCTCTAGGCTAAAATAAAAGACCCATCAACAGATTTTCTTTTAAAGTGTATGTAAAACATAAACGCCGCATGCGCGGTTTAACGGAGGTTGCTAGGCGTTTGCCAAGCGTTTTAAAAACGCCCCACAAACACCTATAATGAAGTTTGAATGGTGTTACCACTCCGCAAACGCCTTGCAACCGTGTCGCAACTGCACCGCAAATGCTGGGCAGGCGTTTGCGGAGCGGCACCATAGACTTGAATAGGAGGCTTCAACTCCTCCTGACTCGACCAGAGGCGTCCGTTTTGCCACAACGCGACGCCACGTGACGCTAACACTTCCGTTTGAACAGCATTATGTGCTGCAATGCGCAGAATTTTCCCAGGCGTTTGGGAAATGGTAAAAACGCTTCCCAAATGCCTGTCTGCCACTTGCTAACAAGGCTAGTGTGAACGTAGCCTTAAAAATGCCACTGAAAGTGTTATGTTGTATCAGTTTAATAAGTGCAAGAAATACCTGTTTGTCATGTCAGAAATTCTGAGCTGTCCTATGTCTAGTGCACAATTCTGGTGTTATCGCAGGTGGAATAATTCACCTTCCCAGTCCTTATCTTGGAATTAAGGATGATTAGTTTTTATGTTGCAGAGATGGGAGAGAGGATGGGTCTGAGTAGCTTGACAAGATAAAACTGTGCAGAGCAAACAACACTCATTGTACATAAATGCTTTGTGTTGTCAGCTCACAAAAAGACTGAGTACATTTCTGTCAGATTGACAGGTATTTTCTGTGCTTGCAGGGTCTTCAAATGGATAAGACATTGGGGCAATGTGCGTGTGTTACAGAGACGTATTATGTTTTTTTAAATTTTTCCTTTATGAACATTTTAGGGTGGTTTCAGTATATATAACCTGGTTAAGAGAAGCAGTGCTGTATGTGTCTGCCATTAGACAGCCCCATACAGCTGCACTGTCACTATGGGGAAGAAAGAAGGAACAGGACCAGGTGAGTGATCTTTATTTTTTATATGTATTTTTCCTCCAATAAACAACCAGGAATAATCTCATACTGGAGACGTCTTTTAGCACCACATACTTTTTTTTTTTGTTTTTACTGTACACTATTATGAAAGGGACATTTTTATATATAGCTTGTAAGCATGGTGCTTTTTTTCTGCAGTAACAGCCTACTTTGTATGGTCATGTCTATATACAGTCAGGTTCATAAATATTGGGACATCGACACAATTCTAACATTTTTGGCTCTAAACACTACCACAATGGATTTGAAATTAAATCAAGATGTGCTTTAACTGCAGACTGTCAGCATTAAATTGAGGGTATTTACATCCAAATCAGGTGAACGGTGTAGGAATTACAACAGTTTGCATATGTGCCTCCCACTTGTTAAGGGACCAAAAGCAATGGGACAGAATAATAATCATAAATCAAACTTTCACTTTTTAATACTTGGTAGCAAATCCTTTGCAGTCAATTACAGCCTGAAGTGTGGAACGCATAGACATCACCAGACGCTGGGTTTCATCCCTGGTGATGCTCTGCCAGGCCTATACTGCAACTGTCTTCAGTTCCTGCTTGTTCTTGGGGCATTTTCCCTTCAGTTTTGTCTTCAGCAAGTGAAATGCATGCTCAATTGGATTCAGGTCAGGTGATTGACTTGGCCATTGCATAACATTCCACTTCTTTCCCTTAAAAAACTCTTTGGTTGCTTTTGCAGTATGCTTTGGGTCATTGTCCATCTGCACTGTGAAGCGGTGTCCAATGAGTTCTGAAGCATTTGGCTGAATATGAGCAGATAATATTGCCCGAAACACTTCAGAATTCATCCTGCCGCTTTTGTCAGCAGTCACATCATCAATAAATACCAGAGAACCAGTTCCATTGGCAGCCATACATGCCCACGCCATGACACTACCACCACCATGCTTCACTGATGAGGTGGTATGCTTAGGATCATGAGCAGTTCCTTTCCTTCTCCATACTCTTCTCTTCCCATCACTCTGGTACAAGTTAATCTTGGTCTCATTTGTCTATAAGATGTTGTTCCAGAACTGTGAAGGCTTTTTTAGATGTCATTTGGCAAACTCTAATCTGGCCTTCCTGTTTTTGAGGCTCACCAATGGTTTACATCTTGTGGTGAACCCTCTGTATTCACTCTGGTGAAGTCTTCTCTTGATTGTTGACTTTGACACACATATACCTACCTCCTGCAGAGTGTTCTTGATTTGGCCAACTGTTGTGAAGGGTGTTTTCTTCACAAGGGAAAGAATTGTTTGGTCATCTACCACAGTTGTTTTCTGTGGTCTTCCGGGTCTTTTGGTGTTGCTGTTTTGTTTTTTCAGCCTAATGATGGCTTGCTTCACTGATAGTGACAGCTCTTTGGATCTCATCTTGAGAGTTGACAGCAACAGATTCCAAATGCAAATAGCACACTTGAAATGAACTCTGGACCTTTTATCTGCTCATTGTAATTGGGATAATGAGGGAATAACACACACCTGGCCATGGAACAGCTGAGAAGCCAGTTGTCCCATTACTTTTGGTCCCTTAACAAGTGGGAGGCACATATGCACACTGTTGTAATTCCTACACCGTTCACCTGATTTGGATGTAAATACCCTCAAATTAAAGCCAGCAGTCTGCAGTTAAAGCACATCTTGTTCATTTCATTTCAAATCTATTGTGGTGGTGTATAGAGCCAAAAATCTTAGAATTGTGTCGATGTCCCAATATTTATGGACCTGACTGTATTTTTTCTAAAGCACTCCATATAGGTCCTGCATTATGTTCAGCCAGCTCCCAGCTGTAATGTAAAAGTGATCTGGGCAGCTTTATAGCCACCCTATCACCTTTACAGCACAGGTGGAGCACCCCACACCCCCTCTGGGACCACATCAGTGGGTCTGAAGATGGCGAGTGGGAGGAGACCGAGAAACATCTGTTCCTCAATCTCTTCTGCAGTGAATGAAGCCAGAAGCACTCAGCTCTAAGCGTTTCCAACTTCAAAAGCTGTCATTACCCAGCCAATACAGCCAGGGAAGCAGCTATTCAAGCACATTCTGTGCATCTGAATAGCTGCTGTAAAGGGCAGGGGAGACAATGGGGGTTTAATAGACTTCCGATGTCTCCATAAAGAGTACCTGTCACCTGCCCAATGTTATCACATCCCCCCTGTTATAGTAATAAAGTAAAAACAAATTAAAATAACAATTATTAAAAAAAGAAAAACAAAAAAAATTCCCCTTGCCCTGCACACACAAATGCAAACACAAGCATGGGGTGAACATATGTATGTAAACTGTGATTGAACCACACATTTTAGATATTGCCGCTAAGGAACAAGCAAAAATTCTATGGCCATGGCTAACTCTAAGCTGATGAGCAGTAAGGGCTTTTAAAACATCACCTTTTTTGTGTTTTTTTTGGGGTACTACAATATCACAGGTGCATGCAATTTTAAGACAACATGTTCAGTACCTATTTACTCAATGCAATTCGATCTTTTTATATTTTTATAAAAATTGGGTATTATATTGTGTGTTTGTACTAAAGTTTATCTCTAAATATAATGCATTTTGTTCATTTTATAACCCTTTAACATCCGCCTAATAGCAGTTTTACGGCTACAGGGCAGCATTCCTGTGCAAAATCACATATATACGTGATTTTGCCCTTCCGCCACATGGGGGCGCGTGCGCCGCTGGAGGATCACTTCTGCTATGAATAGTCACAGCACAAACTGATCTACAAGCCGCTACAGATCCTCGGTCAGGGAGGAAGAACAGACTATGTTTACATAGATACAGTTTTGTTGTGACAGGGGGGAGTCATGAATCCTGTATCTCTGCAGAGCTGAGAACATGATCCATCACTTCCCACAATAAAAGCACCACCTAGTGTACACCAAGCACATAGCTAGGCACACATTTAACCCTTTAATCATCCTACATGTTAACTGCTTCCCAACCAGTGTCATTAGTGTATATTTCAGCACTGATCACTGTATTAGTGTCACTGGTCCCCACAAAGTGCCAGTTAGTGTAAAAATGTCCGCTTCAATATCACAGTCCCGATATAAGTCGCTGATTGCTGCCATTACTTGTATTAAGAAAAAATAAATAAAAAGAATTTCAGTATATGTACCATAGTTTTTAGACGCTGTAACTTTTGCGCAAAATAATATACAATTATTGAGTTTTTTTACCAACAATATGTAGCAGAATACACTTTGGCCTAGATTTATAAAGAAATTTGATTTTTAAAATTTTTTTATTGGATGTTTTATAGCAGAAAAAAATAATTTTTATTTTTTTTTTTTGAAAATTGTCTTTTTTTGTTTATAGCACACAAAGTAAAATCTGCAGAGGTGTTCAAATACCACCAAATGAAAGCTCTATTTGTGGGAGAAAAAGGACATAAATTGCATCTGGATACAGCGTTTCATGACCGCACAATTGTCAGTTAAATTAGCGCAGTGCAGTATCACAAAAAATGGCCTTGACAGGAGGGGGGGGGGGGGGGTAAAAATCTTCTGGAGGGCAAGTGGATAAACAGTTGCACAAATATAGTGCAACATAAAAAAATGCAAATAATATGTTTTTATTCTGCAAGGTCTTTGCTTTCAGAAAATATATAATTATCTGGGGTTAAAGTAATTTTATAGCACAAAATGCAGATTTTTACATATGTGCAAAAAATGAAAAAACTGCTTCAGATGCAAAGTGGTTAAAAAAGGGAGTGGAGGGGTGGTTCTTGGGAGACCGGGAAATTTGGGTGGTGTTTAGGAGACAGGACAGGAAAGTATCAGTACCTCTGTTGAGAAAAAAAAAAAATCCCTAGTTCTGCTGATGGTGGTGAGGTTTATACAGCCCACAAATACCAGATCGAAAATGTGTTGAGAAGGCAATATGTCATAATGGTCACAAAAATTGCAAGTATGGTTTGAATTGATTATTATTCAAAACAAATGTTACTAGGTGAAGGCTAATAAAAAATAGACATGCCTAGCCTACAAGTGTTATATGTGCTTTAACAGAGCAAACATTAACAGCTGATGTCATGACGGAAAAAAATCGCAACCTGAAAAACTGGTCAGCCATTCAGTGCATGAACTAAGACACAGAATAGTGCGTACCTGTTCTCTTCTGAAGTGAAATCTGTCAATGACCTGGAGAAAAGAAAACATGTCCATTTTTGCAAAGTACTAAAGTAAATGCAAGCTTGTTTCTCTAACTTGCGAGCCCCTGAGAAGTTTTAGGTCATAGAATCTGTGTTCATCATAGGTCAATGATTTTGCCTTTGCTTGAGCAGAATCAATATGTATACACTTGTATACACAAGCACCATAATTATGGGTGATGTTAAGGTACCAAATGGAGAGAAAATCTATGGCACGCAGGTCCATACTGAAGACTGAGCATCACGTAATCACATACCACTTTCAGGAGTCTGCACAATGGATAGCACTACTACAAAAACAATGAACAAGAACACTTTGTACATTTTGTACAGATGTGTTGTATCTTTAGAATAGAGTGCAGAATTTAAGAAAAGGAGAACACGTCACAAAGGAGCAAACCTGCTGAGCTTAGATATTAGCAGAGGCTGTGCTACAAGCAGGGGCGGACTGGCAACTCATGGGGCCCCCGGCAATAGGGGATCATGGGGCCTGTGTCCTTGCCCACACTCAAAGCACACCCAAAAAAGCCTATAAAAGGTACCAGGGGCATTTCATGGGCCCCCTACTGACCCCGGGCCCTCGGGCAGTGCCCGAGTGCTTGAATGGTCAGTCCGCCCCTGGCTACAAGTAATTATATCTGTCAAGCTTCTCATTTATCCAGGTCATGATACATCTAGTAGTAGTTAAATACACTCAATTGACCTTTGCTGTTTTCTCATATTCCCACACTGGTTTCAGGGTATGCACCCCAAAAACCGATTGCCAATATGCCTGTGTCATGGAATATCTAGTCGTGGTTAGTCACATTCAGCTGAACTAATCACTAGTGAAGAGGTGGCTTGGATAAGTAAGTCTGGTTGAATGTGACTACCTATTACTAGATATACAAATAAATATATTTGCCTCTGTCATAGTACTATATTTTCTTGATATGTTGTATTCTCAAAGCCCATGTGTTCTATAAATAAAATATTACATAAATATATTATTTGATGCTACATGCAGTGCCATTATACTGTATTTACAGAATATGTTGTTGCACCTACAGAATATGTGCCCATTCAAAACCATTGTGTGTTTGGAACTTTAATGGTTTATGTTTAAAATCATTTATGACTATTGTAAACATTTTTTAATCTCTTGAGCAGCCAGTACTCCTAAAGTCCTAAAGTGTACCTCTGGAAATGGTAACCTGGTTGCTAGTCAGGATGGCAAGTGTTCTGAGCTTCTTTGCAGAGTCTCAGGGGTTGAATAAAAAAAAAGTGATCTGATTATCTCATCCACATTGAATGAAGTCATTCCCGCTGTGCTATTGTGTTCTGACAGCTGGGAGACTTTTTGGCCGTGAGAACACACTGATTAGTGTTGCCGGCTACAGCTGGTGGCACTGAGCGTTCGGGAAAAACCCAACAGGCTGGTTGTACAGAAGTCGATCAACTGCTGTACAACCAGCCTGACCATACATGGATCGAAATTTGGCCAGTTCCTGCTTAATTTTGATCCACTTATGGCCACCTTTGGAGCAGCCGTACCAACCCTACACCAATTGTCTCTAATTTCAAATTGTTTCAAAGTGCCTGTGCTCACAATTAACACACTAAGCTCTTCATAAAATGTACTTACTGGAAGCTGCAGTTCTTTTTGCTTTGTGGAAAATGCTTCAACTTCAAGAAATCTAATAGCTCTTTTGGGACCTCTTTGTTGAACCAAAGCACCCCCTGAAAAAAAAAATGTGTGTATCTGTCTGACATAATTACATTTATATTAACCTAACTATTAAGTTAGAGTCACCAAGATGTCATGCAATACACACCTCCCTGAAGAATCCACACCCCAAAACTGTTTTATTCCTCACATTAGTTTTCTGTATTCAGTTTGAAGGAAGAAAAACTTCCCCAGGTTCCATCTTCCCTTCTATCTAATGGGTGCAGGAAAACTAGAACTGTTTGATAGGCTGGCGTAGAAGAAACATAATATGTGACAGTAGATAACATGTTCTTGTCCCACCCAAACGGCTATTTTGTCATGTACATTAATAGCTCCATTTTTCTACAATCCATGATAATAAATTCTGCATAATATTCCACCTTCCCACCCGCCAGTATTAACTCTTTATAAACACACAGCTGTATCACACAATGCCATAACATGAGATTATTTTTCTAAAAACATCATTATCTGAAGGCTAACGTGTTTCCAGGTAATACCTGTTAATTCCATTTATCAGAAATTACATGAAACATTTCTTTTCTGTTCTTCCTCAATTACACCAAATGGTGTAAGCTCCCTGTTTTCAGTTCCTCTCCAATACTAGCCTCTTCCATATAGTCCTGGGACAAAGCTTTCTTCTCCCCAGAAAACCACACTGTACAGTAATAGCATGCCAGGTCTCTTCCTCTTTCTGGCCATAAGATATGTTGTGAGCTACAAGTATTGTTGGTCATGGTGTAGCAATATATTGTATATTTCTTCACCTGTATGAGTAACACTTCTTAAATGAATACTAAAGCCGCACACATATGTCAGCTGACATTCCACTGTTCAGATTGCCTCAGTGGCCAGTAAGGGCGGTCTTACTAGTGAAGTGGATGGCAGTGAGTGGAGCTTAATAATGAAGTCAGGAAAAGTTAGGCAACAGGTAACAAAGTGAAACTTAATCAGAGAGGGGTACAGACTTGGCTTTTCAGGCCAACAAAGTTAGTATCAGACACAATATATTGTGTGCTTTTAGACAAGCCTTTACTTTTATTGAAGTATGGATCTATTCTAAGTTCTCTAAGGCACATGCACCAGATCTCATTTGGAGTTGACTGTTTCCAAGCTCATAAAGCAGAACTGATGCACAGCACCCCAACTGGATGGGTAAAGTTAAAGGGTGTGGTTAGTAGCTAAGAAGTGTAGTTAAACTGAACTGAACCATAATGGTGGGAAAGATAATCTGCCAAGAGAGAATAGGTAGAAGGTGTTGCATAAAAGGGAGGGAAAAAAAGCCGCAAATGTAAAAGAAAGAAAAGAAAGTGGAAATAGGAAGTCTACTCACCTGTATGTAAGCTTCAAGGCCTTGACGACGCTGCTCTTGGACCTTTGACATCCAGTTTGGAACTCGTTTGGATGGAAAATCTGGCACCTTGCAGGTCTTCTTCAACTACACAGACACAAAGATAATGTATATCATTCACTTGAAAAAAGCGCAGACAAAAATAATCTAGATTCATAAGCAGAAAAATGTTATAATGCACACAAAATAAACTAATACATCAGCCTTTCTCATCCAAAGCTCTGTGGAAACCTGGGGTTCTTCCAGGGGATACTAGGGATTTATTGAGCTGGGCTGACTGACCTTTCATTTCATGGTGCTTGCACAGTGCCGGGGTCAATGCCACTTGACAGAGTCATTTGCATCACACCAATCAATGATCTTTTTAGCTGTCCACAAGGTCATCTGGCTACCATTGTAAAAGGAACATTCTTCCCACCAGCCATCAAAGTAAAGGGCCATTTTTTCCACTGACTGCCAATGAACTGATTTTAGCAAGGGGTCCCCAAGACATGAAAATCGTTTCAAAGGTTCCCCTGGGGTCACTGGTGTCTGTAGAGCACCATCCAAAATACATGGTGGACATGCACAATTTTTCTAGTGCCTGTGCTATCTATCCATAACTAAAAAATGGTCAGTTACCAGTTTATGGAGTGCATGGAATTCACTGTAACGTCGATCCAAAGAATGTCTGCGGCCATTGCATAAAACATCGATTTTGAAGACCTGTCAAAGAATTACAGCAAAAGTAAGAAATGGACAGTATTGTGTTTGGTGCTCATAATTCAACATATATGAGTGAGCTGGCCACAGACCTGCAGGCAGCAGATGCTCTTGTGAAGACCACAGGCTGAATAGGACATGTCAAACCCATCCAAGTCACATTCCACGGGCACCATTCTAGATTTCCATATAACATCAAGTCACTCATTCTGGGTAGTAAAGAGCAAAGGTTCTGTACTGAGCCAGATGGCTCAATGCAGACAAGCATTTCTACATCATGTGTATGTTGTGCTTTATCATATTAAAAGGGATTTGTGGCCTTTAATGCTGAAGGATCACTTGCAGTGCTGACTGCTAGAGCTGAAAACTTTGGCTGTATACTGACCTTGATTCCAGAATTGATCTTGGTTACCAAACAATTATTTACAAAATGCAGTGCCTAAAGTTAATCAAGCCAAAGTTCTGTCAACACTTGTGTATCACAAAGTCAGAAGTGCAACCCTAGCTTAGCATAATTTGCTTTTTCCAGACTGTGCAAAAACACTAGGCACTAGCTTCATCAAATATGACAATGTTATGAAACACACAGTATCGCTAGGATGTGACAAGGTAGCTAAGTGTCTCATTTAGTAAACATACCCACTAGGTGACTGCTTCTGACATCTGATCTCTGCTTTAGGTCACCTCATGTGACAGATGTTAAAAAGAGTTTTCTCAATTACTGGCTGTGAGCTAAATGGGCCCCACACCCAATTCCTGCATAACAACACATACAGGATTTTCTTAAAGTAAAAGTCCACCTTCTGTAAAATAAAATAATAAATACACGTGATTTTGAAGGTAAAAAATGTGCATGCATTATTTTGTTACACTGCAGCATGTAAAAATCATTGCACCCGCAGGCAGTGGATCACGGGTGCAATGTCAGGCTCCTGCAGACTCTCAGTAAGATGTTTGCCCATACTTCCCATATGGGAAGACAGTTACTGAATTGCAGGAAGAACCCTCACAGTTCACAGAGAACTACAAGCCATCTGCCATGGTAGCAGATGGGAATTTTAGTTAATTCATTCACAAAGCTGAGTGAAAGAATGACGTAGTTGTGTGGGAGAGCCCCGCACAGTTTTTAAAAGTGGAGCAGAGAGAGCATACCCTTCCAACGCCCCCCCCCCCCCCTCGCTGACGCAGCAGAGGATTGGTGGGGGGGGGAGTAGTAGGAGACTGGAGCATAGTAACATGTTATACTGTATGCTACACCCTATATTTAGGTGTAACCAGGGGCGTCCCTAGGGTTGGTGTCACCCAGAGCCGGAACGCTTGGTGACACCCCCTCCAATGATCCCCGCAGGATGGATCGGATCTGCGGATTGAGCAAAATGGATCGGAGTCCGATCCATTGTCCTCCCCAATCCGCAGATCCGATCCATCCTGCGGGGATCGTCGGCTTGCAACCTATACGGGGTTAACTGATCGCTCCACAAGCTCCACGAAAAGGTAAGTTTTAAAGGAAGCCGACGATCCCCGCAAGATGGATCGGATCTGTGGATTGGGGAGCATAATGTATCAGACTCCGATCCATTATGCTCAAACCGCAGATCTGATCCATCTGATCCTCATCCTTGCTTTAAGACTTACCTTTTAGTGGAGCTGGATCGGTGTCACCTCATGTAATAGGTGTCACCCGGTGCGGCATGCACCTCCTGCACCTGCCAAGGGACACACCTGGGTGTAACATATAACATGTTACAGGAGGTGAATCTGTCCTCTGTGGGACTGGATAGGATTCTGTATATCAGGGTGCTCAACCTTTTGAAGACCAAGGAACCACTTAAGTAATTTGGTAACCGGTCGCAGGCCACTATAAAATGAAGTGGTTAGGAATTAAATTTTTTTTTTTTCATTTTCAGTAGCATAATGAACATTTTCCTCCTACAGCCGTTAAATGCCAGAGGGAGGGAGAAGAGGAGAAGCCAGCTTTCAGCCGTTGCAGAATGAAAATGGAGAGGATCAGTTCTTGTATATGATGCCCTTGCCGCCCCTTGGGTCTAATGCAGGCCATAGATGGGTCGAAAAAAACGGCAGATTTTTCTTTTAAAAAACGAAAAATCGGTCGTTCAAGCGGCCGACGTTACCATCAATGGTAAAAAAAATCAGCCAATTTTCATCCCGTCTACAGCTGGCAAAAAGTGTCCCTGCAGAGAGCTCTGCTATTTCTTTGACAGTTCTCTGACAGTTCCTTGACATTTATAGAGGTTGCAACAATGTATCTATTTGTTTCCATTTAGGATACAGATGTTTTTATTCGGAAACAAATAGATACAATGTTGCAACCGCTGTAAATGTCAAGGAACTGTCAGAGAACTGTCAAAGAAATAGCAGAGCTCTCTGCAGGGATACTTTTTGCTGGACTGGAATTCCTCTTATTTTCATCCTACTTCTTCTTCTTCATCATCCTCATCCTCTTCTTCATCTTCTTCTTCTTCACCCTCATCCTCTTCTTCTTCTTCTTCTTCATCCTCATCCTCGTCTTCTTCATTCATCCTCATCCTCGTCTTCTTCTGCTTCTTCTTCATCCTCGTCTTCTTCTGCTTCCTCTTCATTCTCATCTTCTTCTTCTTCATCCTCTTCTTCTTCTTCTTCTTCATCCTCATCCTCTTCTTCTTCTTCTTCTTCATTCTCATCCTCTTCTTCTTCTTCATCCTCATCCTCTTCTTCTTTTTCTTCTTCTTCCTCTTCTTCTTCTTCTTCATCCTCATCCTCTTCTTCATCCTCATCCTCTTCTTCATCTTCATCCTCTTCTTCTTCTTCATCCTCTTCTTCATCTTCATCCTCTTCTTCTTCATCTTCATCCTCATCCTCTTCTTCTCCTTCTTCTTCATCCTCATCCTCTTCTTCTTCTTCTTCCTCATCCTCATCCTCTTCTTCTTCCTCTTCTTCATCCTCATCCTCTTCTTCTTCTTCTTCATCCTCATCTTATTCATCCTCTTCTTCTTCTTCATCCTCTTCTTCTTCTTCTTCATCCTCTTCTTCATCCTCATCCTCTTCTTCTCCTTCTTCTTCTTCATCATCCTCATCCGCATCCTCTTCTTCTTCTTCTTCGTCCTCATCCTCTTCTTCATCCTCTTCTTCTTCCTCTTCTTTCTTCATCCTCTTCCTCTCTTCTTTTTCTTCTTTTTGTCTTCCTCTTGCAGGTCACTGCTCATGCGCAGATTTTTTATCGGTAAAAAATCGGCCGATTTGCCCACTAATTGCTGCGAAAATCGGCCGATCGGCAAAATCGGCCGATTTTTTTTCCAACTTTACCAAAAAAAAAAAAACGGCCAAAATAGCGAAAAACGGCCGAACAAATAGCCCACTAACGATCCGAAAATCGGCCGAAAAAATCGGCCGATTTTCGACCCATCTATGGCCTGCATAAGTGTAAAACAGAATGTGACAGGGAGCATGGGTCAAGTTCGCCATTGTGACCCCTGATGCTACACCAGTGGTTGGGGTGTGTGGTAAAAACACATCTCAACTATGGGGTTTTTACCGCCCCACAAATCACAAATGTAAACAAGCCCTTACTGCCCTGAGCCCTCTATAAGGCTGCTTTCATACTGATTCACTGTGGTTTACCTGCACCAGAGGTGCAGCGCAGTGCATCTGCAGGTTAGCTGCACTTTGACTTCTATTATATCTTGCAGTTATGGTGCACATTCTGAAGGTGCATCAAAACTCCTACATTCAGTTTGAAGTGGTGGCCACATCAGAGGGCTCCAAGGGCCATATACTGCCCGTGAGCATTCCTTTTTTTTTTAATTTAACTAGATGGATTTGTGTCTTTTTTCAGCCTGACCAGGGGCAGACTGACCATTCGGGCCTTCGGCATTGCCTGAGGGCCAGGGGTCAGTAGGGGGGGCCCAGTGAGAGGCTCAATGGGCACAATTCACTAAGCGGTATGTTACTACATCCGAGTATGCGGTAGGATACCGCATAGCAGTTTTAAAAAAAAAAGGTTGAATTCACCAAAAAACGCTACTAAAATACCATGCAAGTCATGCGGTATTTTATTAGTAAAAACCATGTGTTAATGTTTCAGCTGTCAGCGGGGCTCCCCACTGACAGCTGAACGTAAAAGAAAGAATTGCCAGCAATTAAAAAAAATAACGTAGAAAACGGCATGGGGTCCCCCCTCCATCCATACCAAGCCCTTTGGGTCTGGTATGGATTTTGAGGGGAACCCCCATGCCAAATTTTTTTTAAAAATGATGTAGAGGTCCCCCCAAAATCCATACCAGACCCTTATCCGAGCATGCAGCTTGGCAGGTCAGGAAACCATACCAGGTCACAAGCCCTCAACATGGGGGGGGGGGGGGTTTGGAGCGGAGGTGGCTCCCCCTCCA